CTTTATCGCTACTTTTGTGTGAGAAAATGTTTTCCCAATTAGTGATCTTTCTGTTTGTTTTTAGTAATGTCTCTTTTGCTGTACAGAAGCTCTATTTATTTATTTTAAAGGATTTATTTGTGCATACAAAAATTGGGTGGAGGCCAGAAGTATGTGGGGGTGGTGTGTGTGTGAGAGGATTACCCAGAGACAGAGTGGGGAGAACAGGTGGATCTACTGAATTATATTGCTGAGGTGAGGAATGGGTGAGACGGGAGAGGTGAGCTGTGCCATGTGGGTCAACTCCCTGACCAGAGATCGAACTCATGTTGCAGTGGCTGGTAATATTTTGATAGTGCTGAGACTTTAACCCCAGTGCCACCAGGAAAGCCCAGAGCACCTGTTCTGGGATTTTTAAATTGATTTTCAGTATATTCGGAAAATTTTCAAGACTTTGTAGATAAACTGATTATATGGAAATCAGAATACCCAAAACATCTTGGAAGAGAACAAAGTGGAAGACTTTTATTTCCAAATTTTAAAATGTACTACAAAGTTATACTAACCAAGACCTTGTTGTAACAGCATAAACATATAAGCCAGTGGGGTAGAATTGAGAGTATAGAAATTAACCCTCAAAATTGCTATTAATTCTTTTATTAATTAAAAAAATTTTTTTAAAGATTTATTTATGCATACAGAACTGGGGTGCAGCCAGATGTGCAAGGGTGGTAAGAAGAGTCACCAGAGACAGAGTGGGGGCAGAACAGGCAGAACTGATAAAGAATACTGCTGAGAGGAGCAGCGGGGTGGGTTCAGGAGAGGTCTCCCATGCCATGTGGGTCACCTCCTGGGCTGGGGATCAGACTTGGCACTGAGGCAGTTGCGGCTCACTTGCAGTGCTGTTCTTTAACCTGTGGCACCACCAGGGAAGGCCCTTGCTATTAATTTTTTTTTAAAGATTTATTTATTTATGGCCCTCCCTGGTGGCGCCGCAGGTTAAACCACAGCACTAAGAAGCTTAAGCCACTTCCGCATGAGTTCAATTCCCACCTGCCCCAGAGGTGACCACATGGCGCCGCAGACCTCTCCTGCCCTGCCTGCTGCTCCCCTCAGCAGTGTACTTCGTCATTCTGCCTGTTCTGCTCCCCACTCTGTCTCTGGTGAATCCTCTCCCCCTCTGCATCTCTGGCCTGTACCCCAGTTTTGTATGAATAAGTAAATTAAAAAAAAATTATTTATGCTTACAGAACTGGGATACAGGCCAGAGGTGCAGGGGTGGTGAGCAGAACAGGCAGATGTCTCCTCCCTGGTGGGGGATCGAACTCATACTGCAGTGGCATCAGAGAGCTTCATAATGTGCACTCCCAGGGAGAGCCCTGATTTTTTTTCTTAAAGTGGGTACCAAAAGATTTTAGTCTTTTCAGGACCCTCCCTGGTGGCGCAGTGGATAAGGACACAGCACTGCAAACTAGCCTCAGCCACTTCAGTGTGAGTTCAATCCTCAGCCCCGGAACTGACCCACATGGTGTGGCAGACCTCTCCTGACCCACCCGCTGCTCCCCTCAGCAGTGTACTTCATCGATCTGCCTTTTCTGCTCCCCACTCTGTCTCTGGTGAATCCTCTCACTGCCCCTGCACCTCTGGCCTCTACCCCAGTTCTGTATGCACAAATAAATAAATCTTTTTTTCTTTTTGCAAATATATGTGTTCAGGTTCTCCCTGTGTTACACAAAAAAGTAAGGTACAGTACATGTTGTGTAATATTACATGGAGTATGTGCCTGGCCCTCCTCCTGCCTCTTTCCTTCCTGTTTGGGGAGAAGTCCTTCAGCTTTGTCTTTATGCTCTCATGAAAGACTTGTACAGGTTAAACAAGTTTTTTTTTTTTTTTTATGTTTATTTATGCATTCAGAACTGGGATACAGGCTAGAGGTACAGAGGGTGAGAGGATTCACCAGAGACAGAATGGAGAGCAGAACAGGCAGATGTACTGAAATATACTGTAGAGGGGAGCAGTGGGCAGGCCAGTAGAGGTCTGCCATACCATGTGAGTCACCTCCCTGGCCGGGTATTGAACTTGTGCTACAGTGGCTGCCATAACTTCATAGTGCTGTGCTTTAATCCATTGTGCTACCAAAGAGAACCCTAAGCATACATAGATCATACAAAGATTTTTTATACTTCGTTCTTCTTATCGGCATGTTAGTAATGCTGCTTCATTAGATGTTGGGAGAATTATATGCATTGATATATGTAAAGTGTTTAGAACTGTACCTGGTACTGCATTTATTAAGTATCAGAGCTTTAGCTGTTATTGTTACAGCATTATTTCCTGTGGCCTGGTAATATCTAGCCTCATGTACATGTTTGATGTTTAAATCTTTTTATGTCATTTAGGGAATATGGTAGAGACTGGATGAAGATAAGGGAGGTTATGTGCTTTTTTTTTTTCTTCTTCTGGAGAATGGGAGTCTCAGGGAGTCCAGGTGCTTCTGAGCAGGGGTAACATGGTCTGTCTGGATGGGGACTGAGAATTCTCAGACCTGGGATGTCAAGCAGAAAGCCAGTGCCTATAGGGGGCATTAGGAGCCCTGTGGTAGGAGTAAAAGCCCCACCTAGGGGAGACCTGGGTGCAATTTTAGATTCTGGGTTTTTCCTATAGAAAAAGAGTTTTTCTATAGCAGACCTGCAGTACCCAATCCCCATATGTTCCTGGGTTACCTGGTCTTTGCAGTAATGTCAGATGTCTTTACCTTACAAGAAAGTTCCTCACAGGTAATGTGACTGTTTCCTGTGCCTGTACTTTCTTGACATGTGGGTCATCACTTCCTCCCTCTCTCCCCACTATGTGACTTCTGCCCATATTAACTCTGAGTTCTCCATCTTGAGTCTGTGCAAAGGGCTTGGGGTGCATGCTCTGAGCTTCACTGAATGTATCTTGTACCTAAGTACAAGTATATGGTTTCTTTTAAAACTGCTTCCAAGAGGTAAGGCATTGACTTGGCTAGCTTATAGGTCCTTGTCCCCTCCTGCTGGTCCCCTACCTTTCTTGCTCCCCACTCAATACTGCTCTCCTTCAAGGACAACACTCAGCAGGTGGCCCACACAACAGGAGCCCTGAATCTGGGGGCCCTCTTTGGTCTTTCCTACCAGTAATTGATGAGGCCATTCAGAAGTGAGGAATGTTGACAACTCCCTTAAGTGTCCCTTTGCTCCACAGAGCTTCACAGCTGTCCCAGCATGGCCTTTCCCTCTCATGTTTTCCTCTGTAGATTCCCCTGGTTGTCAAAAAAAAACACCAAAGAGGTGGAAGTAGTGGGTAGTGGGTGGTGGGGCGAAGTTTGGATGAAGGATAATAAAGGTTTTGAAAGTGTCTTTATACCTTCACATCGCCTAATACCACTTTCATTTTACTTTTCTTTCCCTGGAGGGGTTTCGTTCCTGGGTACACAGCTCTGTGTCCACAGAGTAGTACTCATACCAGACTGTGCATGTGTTGTCAGTTCACTGTCCCTCTAGTGGACTCTTAGGTGTTGCAGTGACTAAGCACGGTCATGTAAGCTAGGGAGAATTGCCAGAAAGATGGCATTTTTGAAGAGGGAATGGATAATATGGTGTTTTGAAATTAGACATGCCGCTGACCACAGGACTAGCTCACGATAGTGATTTCCTCACTATCGTGTGAGTGTTGTCTTTGATTGCAAAGAGAACAGTTCTAGAATGCAGCAGCCTAGACAAGGAGAAGGGCAGTGGCCTTCACCTGCCAGCCTTGAGTGGCACTGCCCTCTTGCTTGTGCAGTAGAAATTCAAATTAACATAGATCTCAGAAAACATTGCCAGTGGCATATGTCCAGTTTTGCATACAAATCTGATGTCAGCAGTGAGAAACAACAGGCTGGGCATTAAAAGTAAAAGGACCAGTAGTTAGAGACAAAAGTGTTCCCCCCCATGACTGCTTCTGATTTGCCTTGTGATTTTGGGCTTAGACCCAAGTCCCCTCTGGAAAAGGAGGCTTAGGCTGGTGGACAGCCCTCCAGGTGAAGTGTATACAACAGGGTAGAAGGAGTGGCATTTGATATCTCTTTGATACCTTTCTTTGATATTTTCTGTGTGCTTGATGGCCTGCTTGTAGCTGAGCACTGACAGCTCTTCTCTGACAGATGGATTCCAGAGATGCCTCCCTGGGCAGAGCATTGCTGTCCATACAGCAAACCTCAGCCTTGACAGCCTTTCAGCTGGGTGATGAGGCACTGTGAGGGGGTGGGAAGGGGTGGCACATAGCTTTGCTTCTTTCTTTATCTGGGATTAAACTACCTCCTGTTCTCACTTTTAGGATGAATACCTTTCCCTTGTGGCCAGGCTCATTATCCATTTTCGAGATATTCGTAAGTAAAATTTTACATTTCTAGTTGGTTGTGATTGTGATTGAGGTACTGACCAGAGGCATGGTAGTGGAGGCTCTCGTGACCTCACAAAGGGCCTGCGTCAAAATATCTGTGTGAATGTATCCACTTTCTTGAAAGTTCATTGCTTTTTTTTTGCTCCCTTAGTTCTCATCTTCCTAGAGCCTGCCTCAGAAATGCTGAACTGCCAGTTTCAAATGAACTGTAGCTTTTATCTAGGTACTTCTTAAATAAACAGAATTTACCCAGGAACAGAAAATTCCTTCCCTAATAGTTGGTCTTAATGATCGACGGAGGCCTGGCCTGACATAGATAAGGGTTCCTGCCAGGTTGGAAGCTTCTGAGGCCACTTTCTAAGCTCCCTGCCCTGCAGAGGGTCATCTAGTTCCTGCCCTGCCACTTTCTGTGTCCTCTGATTCTGAGGTTCCTGCTGTGGTCCTGTTAGCCAGGCCCAGTAGTATAGACTTGCATCCCTTAGGGCAGGAGTCCTAGTGGTATACACACTGATGTCTGGGCTGGCTACCTGGTATCTAAAGAAAGCTGAAGCTGGAGGAGTGCTTTACGGTTTCTGTTGACTGCCTCCTGCCTACTGGCAGTTATGTGACTGTAGATGGTAGGCTCCCCCTGATGCAGCCTGTCCCTGGACTTGGTGAGACCAGTTGCTGCTCCCCTATGGTTGTGGAAGCAGCTGCAGCTTCAGTGTCATACTCTCTAGTAAAGGGAGGCAATAGGAGATGGACTTTGGGAACCTAGTACCCTTCCCCCTGCCCTGCCCCCTCTCCCCCTGCCCACCATGTGGCCAATATATTTTACTGCCTTTCACACTAATTTTTTTTACCAGAATGGCCAGCAGGATGAACTTCACTTAAAAGCACTGTCTTCCTGGTGTTTGGGAAGGTCCTATAGGTTATAGGACAAGAGGAGCCTAGGAAGTGAGCAGCCTGATGCCTGATGACCCTTGTCAGTTTATCCCGGCGAGGTACTGTTTGTTGGGCTGCACAGGCCTCTCCAGGGTGTGGCCTTAGCATGGCAGCACAGACAGTCCAATGGGCAGAGTGTACACAGCCCTCTCACTAGCTCCTTGGGAAAGGGTGGAATTGTTGACAGTTTCCTACCTGGTTCTGGGGAAGCTAGATCTGGCTTCAAAACAGCCTTGACTGTACTCAGTTTCCTCATCTGAAAAAGGGAGATCCCAGAGTGGGCTGAAAATAGAAATATTGTGAATTCTAAGCACCATCTGGGCGGGTCACAGATCTCTGCTGCTCTTTTATTTGTTGTTGTCTAGGACCTGAGCTGAGACACTGGGCCTGGTACAGAAGGAAAGCAGAGGAGGCCAGAGTTAGCCTCTGCGGGGGTTGGGAGTGGGGTGTGGGGGGGGTGTTCCTTCTCCTTCTGCCACACCCTTTTCCATACATACAAAGTATGTATGGAACACACATGTGTTCCATACATACTTTGAAACTTTGAGTATGTTTTATCTGGTTTGTAGGTAGGAACAACACTGTTTTAACAAATGACCACAGGATAAATGCCTACAAACTGACCTAGCATGGAAATAATGGTTCTATAAAACTTTGTTGACTTTGTTTTTCTTTTTTAATAGATAACAAGAAATCTCAGGCTTCTGTCAGTGGTAAGAGTTTTTCCTTTTTGAATTAAAGTTTTTTCTCAATTTTGGATTTGGGGTGGCAGGAATGAGATTGTACATGCCAGGTTACTGTTACTAGAGGAGGACGTTCACGTTCACAGAAAGAAAAACTCGGTGAGAACTGCAGAACCACACCTGCCTCTGCCTCTGCCCCTTCCTCTCCCACATCTTTCCTCTTCCTGGCAGAGGCTACAGTCAGATACAGTCCATCCTGGTTCATTCATACATTTTGCCCAACAAAAGAAGTTAAAAGCTCACAAAATTATTGAGATACTATTTTAAATTTGAGCTCTCTGGGAAAGAACTATTATGTTACACTCATTGTTTCTCAGAGAATAGCTGTGCATTCACTTTAAGTTACACAGTTTCTTTGTAAGTTAAGGATTATCAGAATTTTTATTTTTAAATTTCAAGAAGTTCCTAAGGGGAATTCTGTCTGAGATTCAGCCCTGCTCTCACTGACCGAGCTATCGTTGGAGCAGTTGAACAGATCCAGGTGGCCCGTGAAACTCTAGCCTCAGGAAGGAGCTTGCACAGCATGCCTTAACCGTAGGCAGCAGAGGTGTCAGTGCTATGTTTTTGCACAGCAAACGCCCACACTTGCCTCAGCTGTGCCAGTTGCCTGTGGGCCCTTTCTTTCCACAGAGATAGCTCAGTGAACAGTGATTGCCAGCCAGCCAGCCAGGGCTCGGTGGGATATCTGGGCTTCTGGCTTTGAAAGCATAGGTTCCATGGGCACCTGATTCTGAGGTCCAGCTTGTCCATAGTTTGCTGGTAGTCATTTACCATGAGCCTGCACTGTTGTGGTGAGAGCCTTGGGCCTTTACCTGGGTTGTGGATTGCTCTCTGAGCTGGACCGACAGATCTGTTGGGCTCATGCATGTCATTGTGACCCTTGGTACTCTGGAGACCCCTCCCTCGCATCTTTGCTTATTCTGGCTTGTTTGCTCTGGGCACAGGGTTTATCATAACTCCTTAGTAAGGAGTTCTTGTAGACTAGCTGAGGTAGGCTTCTGTGTGCAAGGAGATTTGTCACCTCCCTGGAGAAACTCCACCTGGCCCTGTGCTCTTGCTTACTTAAAGAAAAGCCTGTAGTACTTTGTTGTCTTTGGGCCTGTACACCAGGAGGGTTATACATTTATGAGGCTGGGTGCCACCACCTGCCCTCAAGGGCATGTTTTGAACTCTCAGTATTAGGAATCTGGCACAGTCAACCTAGGATTGGAATATACTCCCTGTGTAAGAAGGGGCTTCACAGTTCAGGGGCAGTAACAGACACACCCTCTTCTGGCCCCAGATATGACCAGGTTTGGTAGGCTCCCAGGATTTGGCCTCTCACCATTTGGAACTTAGAAGGACTTGAGTCTGGAGGCAGGATTTGGAGCCTTGCTGGTTCAGTGGGTGTTCTCCTGAGATGCTGTGCCATTGTGTTCCCACAGACCCGATGAACGCACTACAGAGCCTAACTGGTGGACCTGCTGCGGGAGCAGCTGGAATCGGCATGCCTTCTCGGGGCCCAGGACAGTCCCTAGGTGGGATGGGAGGCCTTAATGCCATGGGGCAGCCAATGCCTCTCTCAGGGCAGCCACCCCCTGGTACCTCAGGGATGGCCCCCCATGGCATGACTGTTGTGTCTACGGCAACTCCACAGAGTGAGTACCATGCTTTTCAGGGAACCTGCTGCTTTCTTTCCAGGTAACAGACATTTTAATTTTTTTTTTTTTTGCTCAGGATGGTATGGAGAAAGCATGGAACAGCTCCAGGGAGCCATCTTTTTGTCTTTATTGTGTGTGGAAAGAAGACTACAGGCCTTCTTTGGCTACCCTCGGGAGTGGAGGCCTTGGAGGAGGTTGGGATGGCCTGATGCTCCTTTCAAGGCCTGTTTTGTAGAAAGAACATTTGTCTCAGGATATCTTGAGGCATCCTGAGTAGTGCTGCCAGGCTCCCGTGACCCTGGCCTGTCCTGATAGCAGCACCACCCCTTTTATTGCTGCCCTTGCCCCTCGTCTAGCCTGGATTGTGAATCATACTCATGTTTCTGTCAGATTTCCACTCCCTTACCCACTTTGTAGTTCCCTGCAATACTTGGTCCCCCTTGTCTCCTCCACACAGCTGATCCATCCAGAAGCAGGTCTGTTTTGCAAGTGGACTTCCTTTCCTCTCCCACTTCTCAGTACCTGTCTTTTTTTTAATGGTAGCATCAAGTTACCTGATTTTTTTTTTAAAGAGTTAATTTTATTATTTATGATACAAGGACTACCCAGGGTGGAAGCCAGAGTTATGGGGGTGGAGGGATGAGAGGATTCACCAGAGATAGTGGGGAGCTGAACAGGCGGATCTACTGAAATATACTGTGGAGGGGAGTAGTGGTCAAGACAGGAGATGTTTGGTGTGCCATGTAGCTCTCTCGCCGGGTATTGGACTCATGTAGCAGTAGCTGGTGATATTTTGATATTGCTGAGACTTTAACCCCTGTGCCACCAGGGAAGTCCCATTCTTAGATTTTTATTTTCCTTACTGTCTCTTATTCTGACTCTTAGTACATTCTGATTTCCTTGCCCTAAAACAATCTTTGATTAGTTAGTTCTTCATCCCAAGCTTCTCTGTCCCCATTGTTTTCTCACCTTGCCATGCGCTGGAGAAGTACTGACCTGGCTCCTGTTCATGTTAAACTTTGGAATACTGATTGAATTTCTTTTTATCATAAACTTATATTTTGAAATTAAAAGTACTCCTTCAAGGTATCAGTTTAGAATGCTTACCTGATAGACCTTGGAGACCCAATTCTAAGATTTTGTCAGAAGTTCAGTAGTGAAGTTTTGGTAACCTGCCCACACCCTCCCTAACCTGACATTGGCCCACATCCTTTTAAGGGACCTGGATTCCTGTGTGACTACAGTGGAAGGCTGAAGTGGGCTCTCTCCCTTCAGGTTCTACTCTACCTTTGTTAAAGACCCTCCCTTCTTGCCATTCACCTCTTGCTCACATGCTCTACCTGAAACAGGTGGCCAAATGGGCAGCTGCTATGCCTTTCTGGCACTCTCCAAATGCCACTGTGTGATTAAAGCCACGTCAGTTGTTAATTCAGTGTTTCCAGAGGAGGCTAATACTGGGTCAGGTTTTGCTCTATCTCTGAATAACTCTTGTTACTCATAGGAAATGGCTGAAACTGCTAACTGGATGAGGCTGTGACAGGTGACATTGGAAACAAGACTTTATTTTTATTCTATATTTTAGTTTCTCAATGAATTTTATTCCAAGTACATACATATTGACTTATTTAAAAATTCTTATTTTTGAGTGTTCAACATTCTTCATTTTTTTATTACAAAAGTTT